CTGTGCAAGATTAAGTTACAAAAATCACCTTATTTGATTGTCTAAATTTCTACATAATTCTGAGTTCAGAATTATGCTTGATTGCAAGCAGGATATGTAAATCTTGCCTAATATGCGGGGCAGGAGACATGAATCCTGCCAACAACCAAGATCCCAAGTGAGATGCAAATCCTTGCTCAGATCTCAGGTGGGATGAATGAGCACATCCCAGGTGGGTTAATATTCAACATAAGATCCTGGGTGGGATGTAAACATCATGCCAAGGATTTCAGTTGGCCATGAAATTCCAATCAAAATCTGGGTTTGGATGTGTAAATCCTACCTGGGATCCTGAGTGGGATGGGCATTAATCCTGTCAAGAATCTTGGGTAGTATGTGTAAATCCTGCATTTAAGCCAGGATCCTAGGTGGATTATCTTTTGATTGCCAGGTGCAAATGGTGGGATCACATCAAACCCGCGAGGGATCCTTGGTGGGATGCGAGAATTCTGCTTTTTAGGCAAGATCCCAGGGGTATTAGCTTTGATTCCCATGTGGGAAATGCAGTTGGCTGGTCCACACTGTGTGGAGGGATCTCACCAATCCCACCTGGATCCTAGTTCAACTTTTTACCTAGGTGTCAGCTTTAATTGAAATTTGAGATCATTGCCATCTCAGCCTAGGATGAAATAAACCCAGGTACAATCAAAATAAAATTGAATCAGGCCTGATTGTTACAAACTTCCAACACAGCAACTAAAAGGTGAATATTCCTGTTTCTAGTTGCCATAATTGGGCTTGTTAATTTCCTTATTTGAAGGCCCAGGTTCTTGTACTTAAACAGTGTTATTGCTTTAATTTCACACTGTGCTTATTTCACATGATCTTCAATTATTAGGTGTTGAGGCTATTTGTGTTTGTTTGATCACTGTTAGTGTCAGCAAAAATCATTGGAATTAAAGGTGCACAGACTGTTCATGAAGGCAGCAACTTGCAGTTAACTTGTGAAGCCTCGGGGAGACCAGAACCAAACATCACCTGGGTGAAACAGATGGCAGGGAACCAAGGAAATACTGGTGTGCAGGCAGAAGGAAAGGTGCTGACTATAACAAAAATCAGCAGGACTGATTCAGGAACATACAACTGTACAGCATACAATGGTTTTGGTGAACCAGACAGCCAAGCAGTTTATGTGAATGTTACTTGTGAGTATATAAGGTGCTTTGAAATAAACCTTAACCCTTTTACTCCCAGAAGTGATTAACATGTAAGCTAGATCTCTTTATAATATTCACACATTTTCCAGCAGCTGGTAAGTCAGTGCAACTGCAGATTTTGAACAACAGACTATAGATGATGACTGGCGACAATTTTTTCAATCAGATTTTTATAGAATGATCTATGCTGTTCTTTTAATGTGATTGTTATTTCTATTTTGATATGCAGATCCAGCCACAATTATTGCTAATAAATTTCAAACTGAGTATCTTGTTGGTGTACAGCAAAGTGTAACTCTTACCTGTGAGGCAGAAGGAAACCCTAAACCTGTTCACTCTTGGATTCCATGTAATACAGAACAAGTTTGTGACAAGAATACTCTCGCTATTTCACAAGTGCTTAACGATGCCAGCTATGCTTGCAGGGCAGTCAATGTACATGGACCTGATATGAAAACAGCCATTGTTTGTAAGTTACTTTGCAGTTCTGCATATAATTATTAGAGCTAGTAAAAAGGTTAGAAAAGACAAAATGGTTATTAATATGCATTTGCCTAAAAGCTGTCTTATGCCTTATGATGAATAAGTCATGCACAAAAGAATTTTTGCATAAGGGTTACAGTGAGCTGAAAGAGGAACTGACCAGCACTGCTGAAGGGAATAAGTGTGGGAAAATTTGGAGATGTCTTTGAGTCAGTCAACTCATGAGGAGAGAGATTTTGCATGCAGCATATATTAATGGTCTTGAGAATTTTCCTTGGGACCTGTATAGCCAATTGAATGGCTGCCATGGGAGTTTGCCCATCGACTGATTGGATTTGCGGCAGCTTTTATGCAAATGAGAATAATCTTTGTGTTTAGTCTCACTATCTGCTAATTCCTTTGAATAATGACATGTACATTATATGAATAATTATGTACATGTAAAAACACAAAGAAAGCAG